AAAAAAAAAAAAAAAAAAAAAAAAAAAAAAAAAGAACAAAGTCAATTGGTATCAAATAGCATGGACATGTTATTTATAATCTTCAATTTAAACTTCTATTATCAAAGCTGATGATTATATACTGTAGTGCTTTTCAAATTCCATTTTTAGCAGATGGACTCCCTACTTTTTTTATTTTATGGAAAAGGGATAAAACAAAATTTTGTAACAAAATAATAGGAGAATAACAGTAGTTAATATATTACATGTTGTTATCTTTAAAGTAGTTGCTCAGATGGGCTGGGGATTTAGCTCAGTGGCACAGCGCCTGCCCGGCAAGCGTGATGTCGTGAGTTTGATTCCCGGTACCGGAAAAAACCCAAAAAAGTAAAAATAAAAAATAAAGTAGTTGCTCAGGGTACAAGATATGGCCATAAAAATTTCTCCAACTGATATTAGTACAAATCTTCGTTCTTAATGATTTAAAAGACACTAATAGCATAACTTACACTTTTTCCCTTTTCCCTTGTCCTTTCCCTTTCTACTCATCCTACTTCCTTTTTCCTTTTGAATAATTTCTTCCCACTTCACAATAGCTACTGTACATTTTAGACCTTATTTACTCTTTCAAATTCTCACATAAGGGAGACAACCCGATGTTTATATATGTGAATCCCCTACTTTCCCAACTGAAATTCTGTAGGACAGATACGGAACTGCTCTTTTGGAATCAAGACCTTCAGATGAGGGCGCCAGGACAAAGCCCCTTTGACCTTCCCTACTCTTGCAACAGAGCCTAAGATTCCTCTAGGGAAACAGAGCTTGAAAATTATCAACGAGTAAATTCCAAGCTGGAAATAGGAGCTACTTCTGTAAATGGAGGTATTTCAATGTGTAAAGAAATACAGGGGGAAAGTCTAACTTACCCAGAGCACAAGGACATTGACAAGACGGTCTATATGCGTCCGTTTAAAGGTGGACTTTCCACTGTTCTGCATTAATTTGGTGTCTGGCCCTAAGTAAAACAAGGAGACATCAAATCTTAGAATCCCTGAATATACTTAGGGGCTTGAAATTTGGCCGGAGTTACCTTTATGTTCACCTATTCTAACCTCTTCGGTAATTCCAGGAGTTACGGACCTGGAGAAGAGCTCGCACTGGTCCTAATAACCCAGAGGGAAACACTGCTCAGGGTGGCCTCTGCGTCCTTACTGAAACGCATTCCTGCCCACTCCTCTCCTTGCAGTATCTCAGTGTTGCCTTTCCTAGGTAAGTCAGGAATCACAAGCTTCTCTCAACACCATTTGGTTTATTTGGCTTAGGGAAGGAATCTTCTGATACAGAGATCTCTGCCTTCTTTGGGGGCCTCCATGCTGGGTCAATCTATATTTAGTTTCTAACTGGGAATGGAAGACAGAGGCAGTGACAGTGATTTCTCCTGAGGCAGAGGATGAGGAGCTGAGGTTTTTTCCGGGCCAAGGGACCCTGTCTTTCTTCACGACAGGGCAGACATAATTAGAAGTGAAAAGCTTTTCATAGCCACTGGGACTAGAGTTGCAAATTACTAACTAGAGATACGGCTGCAGAGCAAGAAACGTGAGAGGCTTAGAAGAAACTGTAAGTAGCAGTTTCTCTGGCCTTTCACCATCTGATTAGTATTCTTGCGTGTGCTCTCAGGAGGGAATTTCATCAATGTTGACAACTTCCTGGTATGCAGGCAAACACCATTCTTTCCTCTGAAGCATTTTGCGAAGGGCTTGAAGTCAGGAGAAGTCTGGCACAGAACCTGGAAGCTTTGGGGACAACTGCTGGGATCCTTCGGAAGTGTCTCCCTGGGGCTTGGTCCCTTGTTTTCCATAGGAGATTGGGAGCTCCATGTCTAGGAGTAGGCTCTCTAGAAGAGGATCTGGGAACCTGAGCTGAACAGTGTTCGCTATGGTAAATCCTGCTCAGTGCTTCCTACTATGGTGGCTGTGCTACAGTTTAGATCTTAAACGTCCCACAGAAGATTGTGTGTTGGAGGCTTAGCTCCCAGCTGACGGTGCTAGTGGTGGAAACTTTAGGGGGTGTGACCTCACTGGAAGAAGGTAGGTCATTGGAGGCAAGGCCTTGAAGGGTTTACAAAGTCTCCTCCTTTAACACCAAGTTAGTTCCCACAAGCAGGTGTTAAATGAACTGGTCATTAAAGAGGAATATAGTATATGGAATATTCAGAACAAAGAAATGGTCGAAGAAAACTCCAACTTGATGACTTTGCTTTTATTTGCACAGCTCTTACATGCAGTACTGTAATGCATAACAGAATATAAAGCTACAGTATTGCACTGTACAGTACGATCAGTAAAAATTACAGTATCACATAAACAAAGTACACTGCACAAAAAAGACAGTGAGGCTCTATAAATAAGTTGTACAGAAGTGTACAAAAAAAAGGTGAGTTGTAAGTCCGAGTGGTGGTTTGTAAGCTGAGCAGCCATGAAATAGGTGGGTCCTGAACGAGGAGCATCTGTGCTGGACCTGACCCTTTCTTCCCTTTTTTTGTTTCTGGCCACCATGTGCTGAGAGGCTTTGCTCACCACACACTCCCATCATGATGCTCCACCTCACCACAGTCCCAGAGTAACGGCCCTGTGACCGTGGACGGAAACCTCTGGAACTGTGAACCCAAATAAACCCTCCCTCCCCCTAAGTTGTTTCTCTCAGGCATTTTATCACAACACCAGAAAGCTGACGAACACAGTCATCAGTGCCCATTGTTGCTGAGGGTGTGGAATGGCATAGGAGCATCCCCCGTTATCCTGAAACACAACCCAGGAAAATCCCTTGCTAAGCATTATGGGTGTGGTTCCAAATGTTATCTGAAGAAAGGCCACTACTAACGTGGTGCCTTCTCTCTGACATAATTCTTTAGGTTATATTTTATATTATTGTCCATAATAAGCACTGCTTTTACTCTCTCCCTGTGGGAGTAACCTGCAAGTATAATCTCCCATTTCACACCCTAATTCTCTTGTTCTTTGTTTGTATGTATCCTTCTGTGTCCAGATATGTTTGCAAAGAATGTCCTGTGAGCTTGGAACACTAAGACTTCATTATGTTGGCAGTGCACTGCTTAGGAAAAAGAAGTCCCTTTTTTCTAAGAAATAAGATTTTTCTTCATCCATCCATCCATCCATCCATCCACCACCCTCCATATCTATCTCTAAGCTGTAGTGTCCACATCTATATCTATATATCTACATCTGTGTCCATATCTATGTCTCTAAGTGGCATGTCTGTACCCTAAGTTAAGCACGCCCCACTTGGTGGAGGACGGACCCCTGTGGGCCGGGTCTGGCTGTGGCTGTGGCAAACGCACCCGTATAAACCACCAGGCCGTAGCACCACTCCGTGTGCCTGATGACGCAGCCTCGGAGCAGCAGCTTGTCATGGCCGAGCAAGTACTGCTGCCCTTTGTAGGTCAGGATGCCTGTGAATTTGTCCAGCTTGTTATTGGGAGGATCACACTTTACTTCTCCTGCGGAAAAATAAGGAAGGCAGAGTCCTGGTTCTGTAATCTTAGGTTTTCCTAACAGAATGGAAGGAGGCTCAACAGAAAAGCAAAAAGAAAACCCCTTTCAAAATATCACATTTTTCTTATCTTCTCCCCGTGACTCCCTCTATTTTACTAGCTCCCTTCCAAAAAGCAGACAAAGGTTTCTGGGCGCCAAGGAAGAACAATTCTGTATCTGACGTGAATCATCCAGAGAGAGAAAAACCTGTAAGGTAACTTACCACCATTAGTACTGTCAGAATTGTTGGTCTCTGAGTTTGAAGGAAGTCCTTAAAGCAATAAAACACTAGGTATATTTTTTTTAAAATGGAAATAATTTGGCTTTTTCATGATTAATAAAGTAAATATGCCCCTATAAATACTTATGCAATGCTAAAATGATAATGAAAGTAAAATCTACCCATTGTCTAAAGAAAAGTACTATTAATCTTTTGAATTATAACCTTTCAATTTTTTTCCTATAATGCACTCATCACATTTCCCAAAAAGGATTGTTTATATAATGTGCAGTCTTCTGTAATCTGTATTTTTCTCCTGTTAATATGGTATGAGTATTTTCCATGTCAATAACTATCAACTTGTATATTTCTGTAATAAGTTGTACAGAGCTTCCTGTAAGGATGTACTATGCTTCACTTAGCCAGTCCTTTGCAATGAAAGTTTGGGTGGGCAACTCTATTTCCTAACTCACCATCAAAAGCAGACAGCAGCTCCAGGTTATCTTCCAAGTCACTGGTAACTGAGATGGCCTGCTTCACTTTCAGGTTGGTTTCACTAGAGTAAAGAGCACAGGATCACCAGAGGATAGCCTATACACGTAACAGGAGCATAGGGCCAGTTTCTCCTATGTCTTCATGGGATTTTAGAAAACACATGTTTCCAGCAGAGCCTGGCCATGGATTTAAGCTGTAAGAGTTCCCTGCTTTCATGGGCAGGACCAAGCTGAGATAACTGCAAGGAAGCCAAATGTTAGCCCACTCACTGCCCTCACCCCCTGTAACACAGCACCACTAAGGTAACTAACCCAGAGAGCCGGCTGGTCAGATGCACTGGAAAAGCTGAAGAGACGTCAGGAAGGGACCGGGAGGTGGCACCTGCTCCCTTCAAGAATAAGGAGCAGGTTCTGGTGAAAACCTACACCCACCTCCCAGGCAACATACTCCCAAAGTCACAGACGTTTACAGCGCCCAGGAAGGGCCTGTAATGAAGCACTTGCCAATACAAGAATGTACAGAGACACAGCCAAAACAGAAGCCACATTTCACAAAGCTTGAGGCACCAAAAGGAATAGTCTTAAGAATGCAGACTGATACAAAACTCTGTACAGGAGCTCTTTGAAGATGGCCCTGATCCTCCTAAGACCTTAGCTTTTTTGAATCAGTAAATACTTTTTTCCATACTCAGTTTTCTCCTACAAACTCTAGAGCTTTATTCTGAAACTTTACAGCTCTATTAACCTCTTTCCAGCTACAGCCGTCCCTGAGTATCTCCAGGGGATTGGATCTAGGACTCCCTCCACAGATACCCAAATCCATGGATGCTCAAATTCCTTATATAAAATGGTACAGTTTGGGTGCAGTTCCTATACACACCCTCAGGTATATTTTAAATAACCCCTCCATCACTTGTAATTTTTTTTTCTGGTACTAGAGATTAAAACCAGTGAGTGTTGAGCTACATCCCCACATCTTTTCTAAAATTTTATTTTGAGATAAGGTCTTTCTAAGTTTCCCAGGCTGGCCTTGAACTCAGCATTCTCCTGCCTCAGCCTCTTGAGTACCTGAGATTATAGGTAGGCACCACCACACCTCACAATTTATAATTCTTAATACACTGTAAATGCTATGCAAATACTTGCTATTTATATTGTTTAGGGAAAAACAACAAGGAAAAAGATCTGTATATGTCCAGTGTGGATGTAAATTTTTCCAGTATTTTTAACGTGTGGGTCTGGGAGCGGCAGATATAGAATCTCTGGGTATGGAAGGCTGACTGTACAGCTGCACATGATGTTTCCCACTTAGAGATGGAGAATATGGAGTTTGCCCACATTCTGCACCCAGCTGATGCTCCATCAGTGCTGCTACGAGCTCAGCCTTAGCCGGGCCCCAAGGATCTGGCTTCCTCTCTTCTCTCACACGGATATTTCTAGGGTCTCCATTTACCTGAGAATAAAGTGAATGCCCTGTTTCATGCTCTCAGTGAGAGGTCCCTGTAAGCTGGATGAAACTGCTGGAGTGAAGCATCAGGAGGGAAGGCTTACCCGTCCAGTTCTGCTGTTTCTATGTATGCCAGACCGTACGGCTCACTGCTTGAGAGCAATAATATATCTGCCTGTTATAAGAAAAGCCAGAGAAGATGAGAAAAACAGGCCTTTAGGAATAGATATTCACCCAGAGAAGCTGGTTTTAACTTTCTCTTTCTGGGACCCACTGCTGCTTCCACACACCCTCTTCCAGAGCCATTCACACTCTACCTGCAGCTAGGGTGAGGGATGGATGAGAACGAGGGTCTTGTCCTGGGAGCTGCTGGTCTCCGGGGCAAAGGGAGGCGGGTGAATGTCACCAGGCGTGGTGGCAGCAGAAGTGCTTGCCCTATGGGTTCCTAGTTCCTACTCAAGCCGAAAACCCGAAAGCCACAGCCAGGAGAGGTACTCACTGTAACAGGCTGATTATTTTTAAGTTTGATTATATCTCCCACTTGGACATTCATCCATTTGTCCTCCTCCATCCTGTAAGAAAATGATCTCTCAATGTCTGCTCTGAGTATTTCCCCAAAGCTCTTATTTTGATAATCAAGAAACAAAACACCAAACACAACAACACAACAACACAAAACAGGCTGAGATGAACAAAGACCAGGGCCAGGAGGGTCAAGTCAGTTTGCGATGCACCCTTGCTGCTCCAGGGACAGGCCCATTTCTCTGGACTTCGGGCTCGAAGGGTTCCCTAGAACTCTATGGAAGTATATATAGATATACGTGCACATAAGAATCTTAAAGGTGAAATAGTTTAAATAGTGAAGAAGTATGGAAAAGAAACAATTAAAGTCTCTCTCCACAACCTCTCTCCTGCCCTAAAGGTAGCCCCTGCATTTTCTTGTATTTCATTCTAGAAAATATTAATTCATAAAATCCCGTATGATATATACATTTAAAAGTTATATACCAGATACATAACTTTTTTCACTTAATAATATATCATGCCCAGTGTGGTGGTGCACGTCTGTAATCTGAGCACTCAGGAGGCTGAGGCAGGATTGCCGCAAGTTCAAGGCCATCCAGGGCTACGTAGTGAGTTCAAGACCAGCCTGAACTACACAGCAAGACCCTCAAAAAAAAAAAAAAAATCCTGGAGAACACATATAGAAGTTGTGGCTCATTCTTTTCCATAGCGGAGATGTACTCTATTATATGGTTATAACAAATTTATTTACTTATGTAAAAATTGGACTACTTTTGACCCTTGAAATGCCACTCCCCATGAAAGGCAGCCTGGAAGTGTGAGCAGATTCTACAATAATGCTGGCTCTTCCCTTCCTCTTTTTGTGCTCAATTTCTCCAACTGCATAGCATCTGTAAGTCCTTCCTCCCCGACGAAGGATTAAGGAGGGGTACGCATTGCCAGCGCAGATGGCTCACTCCTCCGTGAGCAATTCTGCTGTGCTAGTACCCACAGAACAGCGAAAGAGAGCGCACACTTAGAAAGCAGTCTGCAGTTCATCTTGACGCAGCTCTGGCCCCTGTGGACCATGACATACGCCACTGCCTTGCCAGACACACAGAAGAATAGGGATTCTCAGAACATCTTTTCTTTGAGAAGGGCCAAATTTCTTTTATATAAAAATTCCTTTAATATATACTCACTCTTTTAGTTGATTTTCTGATCCTACTGAAGATTAGTAACTACAAGCCTTGAAGAAAGACATCTGAATGTTTGTTTTATTCATTTTTGATCTGACATTGATCTGACATTTACTTGTGTGTGTGTGTGGTATAGGGGCTCAAACTCAGGACCTTGTGCTTGTGAAGCAGGCACTTATGCCACTGAGCTGTATCCCCAGCCCCCTGACATTTACTTCTGTGGGTTCTCTGGCATTCTATCTACCATTATTTTTACAGTGAAACATGAAGAGGAAGCAATGCTATATAACGTTCTGGTTTCTCCTGGAGATATAAATGCTTATATTTTATTACATAAGAAGTTGCCAGACTATTACAGTTTGTTCCTAGACAATTTTAACAACCATGTGTCCCAGACTTTGGGAAGGGGCAGATACTCCCTACTGGTTTAAAATATGGAATCCTGTTGTGCCGTAAGTACATTTTAAATTTCCAGGTGTTGTGTCCTACTTTGTGTAGAAAGTGTATCAGAGAGCTGGAGAAGCCAGTACTGTGACTTCAAGGAGACTGTTTATATTATATTCTGTTTTGTATGAATGGTACCTCCTGGAGTCCTGTAACACGCTGGTTTTCCATATCACAAATACTTAGAGATACTTGATAAAATAAAGCCAGTACTTTTCCAAAAGCAAGGCTATACTTGGCATAAAGTAAGGAGCCAGAAAAAAAGAGGGGAGTGAAATCTAGAACCGTACGTAGGATCTAAAGATCTTGCCTAGGGTGGGCAAGGGGATTACCAGTTGTTTTTTTTTTTTTAAAGAGTAAAAGAAGGATAACATGATAATGGGGGGCGCTTACCAAATTACAGGCAAAGTGGTAGGAAATTATCAATGGTTATTGTTTTACATATTGTTATCTACAAGATAGTTTCTCAGGAAAACAAACAGACAAGTAATAGTGAAGAACAGACAAAAGAGGTAGGAGATTATCAATAGTTGTTGTACTATACTTTGATATCTTCAAATCCCTAAAGAGGGATTGCCAGTTTTAACAATCTAGTAATCTGAGTTTTAATTTCTCCCTGCAGAGAGACAACAGATGAAGGCTTATGATCTTAAGAGGTAAAAGTTTGGAACTAATAACTCCCCATAAAGCATTAAAGGACAATACCAATGGTGAAAGGCTGGTCTAAAAAATAACTCAACCCACTGGTGAGACAGTTTGCCAATGTCCTACATGTTAGGTGGGTGGGTGGGGTCAGTGAATGAGGACTCTGCCCTGAGAATTTGAACTTCGGATGGTATAGGGTTCACATTTAAACTGCCTCCAGCTGGGCATGGTGGTGCACACCTGTAATCCCAGCACTCGGAAAGCTGAGGCAGGAGGATCACTGCGGGTTTGAGGCTGGCCTGGGCTAACAAGATCAAGACCAGCCTGAACTGCATCAGAAAACCCTATCTCAAAAAGACTAAAACAAAACAACAAAAAACTTCCTCCAAATTAAGTGGTGGCAGATGAAACCCTAAGTCACTTGGCAGAAGCAAATACAAACCTCTGCAGAGGGCTGTAACTTCAGCTGAGGCTACGTAGAGCTCCCAACAAAAAGTTCTTTTCTGTTATCTATCTATTTATTTATTTATCTTTATTTATTGAGACAGAGTTTCACCCTGCAGTTCAGGCTTGCCTTGAATTCACTATGTAGCTCAGGCTGGTCTTGAACTCACAGCCATCCTCCTGCCTCAGCCTCCCAAGTGCTGGGATTACAGGCATGTGCCACCACACCTGGCAAAAGCTCTTTTAAACATATGCTTGTAAACAGAATTACTCAGAAATGAAAAATGACAAAAACTGCAACTTGCGAAACAGAAACTTTTGAGGTAGCAGCATTCTCAGTGGGTTCTAGAAAAGGAAAGCTGTGTTTTGGAAAGGACCTACTCTAAAATTACGCCTCAGCTTTGCATATTACATGAATCTGACCCTGCTTACGGTGTCTAACCAGGGCCATGCTAGTTAACACCCACCCCCAGTCCCTCTGTGACGAATTCTTCTCCAGTGGCGCTATGCAACCCAAGCACTGCTTACTCGGGGGAGTTCGCTGGTCTAGCTTCTCCTGGTCAGCGCCTCCCAGCTCACCCAGTCTCAGAAACACTCGGTTCTGTCTTGTCTTTTTATTCCTATTTCCCTTTCTTTCTTCCTGACCACAACTGACCTTTTGGGTGTCTTATGAAAAGTTTTAAACGTTCAATCTTCTGAGGAAAAAAATCCACAGTGAGTAACAATCGGACACAATACACAGAAGGATTATACGCTTAAGAACTTCAGATCATCTGATAAAAAGCTATAGCTCCTCAGTGTTCCTCTACAAGGCCACCATGAGAAAGTCTGCACCTCACTTCTGAATTCCATTAAGCTTGCACTTTCTTGGAATCCTGGTTCTGCCCATAGTGGTCACTCTTCCTTTCACACAATGCCTACCCATCGAATTCTTCCCACCCCTTAACACCTGGTACCAATATCACCTCTCCTAGGAAGTCCTCCTTGATCCCCCTTGCTGGCTATGATTGCTATAATAACCGGCTGTACCTCTTACTTACGAAGTAGTCCTCCTACTTCGCTTTGTACAGGAATATGCTTTTCCCTTCCCAGTCTTGCCAACACTTTAAGTGGCTGTGACCAAGCACCATAGCCGTGAGGTCAACATGACACTGTCCTCAGACTGCTACAGGAGATAACCTGACCCACAAAGGCTACTGTGGAATGGCCAGTACGCCATGACAAAACCCACTGTTTGAAAGACAAACGTCTTGATACTAACTTGAAAATATTCACTTACATACTAATATAATGTTCTAATACATTAATTGCTTTAATATATTATCTCACTTTTATTTTCATAGGCACCCTCGGAGGTAGAGAATGTAATTTCCACTTTATAGACATCTGAAGTAACACGGCAATTTCAGGGCATGCTAGATGACACCTACAGTTCTTCCAACGTCTGACCCAAGGTCCGTTCACTCTCCTGCTGCCCGCCCAGGTGACCCAGCACGCCAGGCCTCAGCAAGGTTGGCTCTCCCAGGACGGGGCGGCCTCACCTGGCCCCTCGCGAGGACCTTACCTGCCATTTGCCAGCAGCAGAACAGGACGGTTGTTAACTTGATTGTCATTTTGGTGCCTTTTCTAAAATCACACAAGAAAATGTTCAGCAAACAGACACACAGCAAACTGTACATGGAACTTTAACATTTTGGAACATTGCCCAGTGTAATTCCTGTCTTTGTAATTCTCCTTTCTCCTGCCTCACAGTCCTTCTACCATGAAAACCAGACTAAGAGGATAATGTCTCCTGGCGGCTGGGAGGAAGATCAGAAAAAGAACCCAGCGAGAAGAAAGAAACAAAATCTTGTTAAACATCAAAAACCAAAGCCGGGGGAACGAGAACAAACAAGTACGCCACGGACTCAGGGATAGAGTGCCGGTGACCGGCCGGACAGGGGAGGCCAGTCTGTGGCCGAGAGGGAGGCCCGCACTTGGTCCCGCCCTGCCCCGCGGAAGCTGCTGCAGAAGACAGACGCAGGGCGGAAAGGGGCAGAGACGCAAAGGCCAAATAGCAGGAGCGAATTCATGAAGCGCCCCGACGCCCCGACCCACGGGGACTGCCTCCTTCGGGTTGGGCTCATTGCCTGGGAAAAGAGGACGATGGGGATGGGGTCAGAGAGAACCCTGAACTTGACGAAATCCAGAACGGTCTCAGCACTGATGCTGAAGAGACTGAGTTCTGAACCAGAACCAGCCGGGTTACCCACGCAGGCAAGCTGAGTTTTCAGTTGCCACGGGAAACATTAGGGGTAGGGTTGTGAGCTAAAATGAGCTCAGTTGTAGAGACATAAAGTTACATTTATGTGACTGAAAAGTACATGTCCACATGTGCTAACCCCGGACTTTATGATGTTAAGGAGTTCTCAAACTTTGGTTGAAAATCTATCTTGGCAAAATCCAAGCACTCCCTGGGGAAACTGCAGGGACTGGCCTCCCAAACCGCACTAGCAGCTGTGGGGGAGGCTGGGGAAGAGTCACCTCTGCCTCTGTCCTAAGGCTTTCTAAAGCCAGAGGGCGCCCAGCTGTGCAAGGCGACTAGAACTGAAAGTTGGAGAGGGAAATGGGGGGCTGGAGAGAAGAGAAAAGAGACAGAGAGGAGAAAGAGGAAGAACAGGAGAAAGGGGGCCGGGGACAGGAACGAAGGAGAAAGAATAAAAATGGGAGGAGGAGCAGAGGAAGGAGGAGGACAGAGAAACCTGCGAAAGCTAAGGGAAGGCGGGTCTCTGCGCGGACGGGGAAGGAGGGCGGAGGAGCGCTGACAGGCGGCTGCACAGGGCCCTGCGTGCGCCTTTCTGGTGGCGCGGACCACCAGCCCCGGGCCTGTGCGAATGACTACGCGTCCCTCCGGGACAGACAAGGAAACAAGGAAGGGAAACAGTTCCTATCGCTCAGTGCGTCTCAGCGCAAGGAACATCTGGGCCGCCTCCTCGCCCACAGCCTGACTAGGTACAGCGAGGGGAGCCCAGGAAGACACTCCACCATGTCATCGATGGCATCTTTCACAGCTGTTATGGACAGCACCACCGTCAGGGGTATCACAGTTGTGTAACTTGCCAAGGGGGAAATCTGGGGAATTGTCTGTGAAGGGAAAGAAAGAGAATCCAGGGTCAGGAAACTCAAAGGATTGTACGTTTCTCTCATCTCCCTGCCCCACCACTATTTTCACCTCCCTAGAATCATAATAAATCCAATAGTCCAAGTTGCTTTCTGCTGCTATATAGCTTTTACCCCTGTAGCCCTCAAATATAAGTAAAGAACAGTCTGTACATTGCTACCTGTCTGTTCTCAATTCCACTACCTTTGTCCTGATGGAGAAGGGACATCAGGTGTGTGTTCCCTCATGATGAAAGGTACCAGGGCAGGGTGTTATGAGTGGATGCGGGAAACCATACTCTCTCCAACATCCCTTCAGCACAAGGGGAGGTGGGGCGATCTGCCCGTCCCCTTCTCCAGTGTGGGCCTAGCCTGCGCTGATGCCTTCCCTTGTGCTAGTACTCTTGTATTCTAACCATCCTCCCTCCTCAGTACTCCAATATGTCAACTTCCTGCGTGGCAGCTGGGACAAGGAAGAATAGGGTTGGAGTGGAGTGTGTGGCTGCCTGTGGTCAAGTTAACTGACCATGCACCATGGTGAGGAGCTCGCCTTCCTTCAGGTTCCAGGACCTTGTCTCTTTCCTCCTATACAGGCTTGATTCACACTGGCTAACCCTGATCCCAGCTACACGAGGGCCCTGGCCTGAAACCCACCGATCCATTTGTCTGTGTCCAAGGAGAGACAGCATCTCTTGGTTTAGCCTGACACGAAAGAAACTGATAAATCACATACAGAAAGGGGCCCAAGAGGCAATACCTGCAGGAATACCAAAATCAGGAAATAGGCATTTGCAAGTCTCTGGAACTGTTCAAACAGGTTCATGGGCAGGAAGTTTAAGGCATTATATTTTGAGGTCTTGATGGTATTGTCCTACGAGTAAAAACAGTAACAACAAAAATCAAGACCAATCACAGGAACAAAGGACAGCTCAAAATTGGGTGGATACATTCGCCATTCAATATTCAGTGTATATTTATTGAATGCCAGATGTGGCCAAACACTGTGGTGGGAACTGTGGATACAGAGGTGGATAAGACAGATGCTCTCAGGCTGAGGCAGGAGGATCGCTGAGAGTTCGAGACCAGCCTGGGCTATAAAGTGAGTTCAAGACCAGCCTGCACTGTGTAGCGAGACCCTGTCTCAAAAAAGACAAAACAAATAAATAAACTTTTTAAAAGAGTTCAGAATAGTGTAAAACAGTGGGAAATAAGACTATATATTTGTGTTTGCTTTATCTGCACAAGAAAGCGATGATGAATATACAAAAAACTAATATGAGTGCCGTCCTGTCTGGGAGCAGATGTGGACAAGGTTGGTGCTGACGCAGGACTTTCCAATACATGTCTTTTTAATGAATCACTGACTCATACAGAGTGAAATATAACCCAATGGGAAGTGGACAAAGACCACAAACAGGTAGTTTTCAGAAAAAGAAATACAAAAGGCTAGTTAATATGAATAGATTATCAACCTCACTTAACATTAAGGGATAGGTAACAAAATGTCACTTTTCATCTAAAAGGCTGGCAAGGATGACAAGATGGATATGACAGTTTGGCAGGAATGTGGTGAAATGGGCAGCCTCCACTATAGGTAGAGACAAAAATGAATATAATTTTTTAAGCCGTGGGCAACCTGATAACATATATTATAATTTTAACATACTCTACCTTTAGGCTGTGGCCAACATGCTTCTAGGAAGCTCTCATGTGACAAACTATATGTATAATCCTGTTCATTCAGGACCATTTATATTAGAAAAACACTACAGACACTTTATTTTTTTTAATTTTTTAATTTCTTTATTTTTATTTTTTCTGGTACCGGAAATCAAACTCATGACCTTGCGCTTGCCAGGCAGGCACTGTGCCGCTGAGCTAAATCCCCAGCCCCTCTACAGACACTTTAAATGTTCATCAATAGAAGAGAAGATTGGTTAAGTAATTTAAGGTTTATCAATATATAGGAAAACAATGCCACTGTGAAATAAATAAGATACAGCTATATTTATTATAATGGATGTCTAAGTATAAAAGGTCATTATGGAACCATGCTTTCACTTGTGCAAGGAAAAGAAGCAATATTTCTTTTCTAGGAGTTCTATATCAATCCAAAACCCAAGACATATTTTCCCTGAGTTTAGGGCACTGGATTAATTTTGGCTTGAGCCCCAGGGCACCACTCACTATTGAGGAGTGCAGGAGAAAGTTGAAGCTACGTTGCAGTATCTACATCTCTAATGAACTCCCTGCTTCCCCAACAAAGGGAAATACCAGGGGAACTCCGGCCCCTTCTGAGGCAGCCAGAGGTGGGGTACTCACTGGGTATCCAAAAGAAGTGGTGAGATTTCTATTGTTGGCTTGCAGAAGTCTCTCATTTTCTGAAAACAGAGGACAGAAACAATGAGAATGATGCCCCTCCGTGGATCAGCCTGGCTGTGGGCTGCTGGCTGCTGGTGAGAATTTCACGAAGTTCTCACATTGTCTCACTGAAGAGATCTGTTTAAAAATGAAATTTTCTCTCTTTATTCAAAGAATCAAGAAATACAATAAAAGGGGTCTGGCATGGTGGTGTACCCCTGTAATCCCAGCACTTGGGAGGATGAGGCAGGAGGATCATTACAAGTTTGAGGCAAGCCTGGGTTATGTAGTGAGTTCACGGGCAGCCTGGACTGCATAGCAAGGCCCTGTCTCAAACCAAACCAAACCAAACTAAAACAAAACAAATTCCAGAAAAACAAAAAAGAGATACAGTAATACAGTAAAAGAAATACAGAAATACAGTAAAAGCTCAAGTGTTCAAGTTTTCTTGAGGCAACAGGACAAGTATCTTCTGAGGAATCTACACATTAACACTTTTCTAGTGCCTCCTTGATTATTTCTCCTCAGACATTTCTGTCAAAATAATGACAATAACTAAAACCCAAACCAAAAAACAGAAACCCAACCCCCACTCTTTTTTTTTTCCAGACAGGGTCTTCCTATGCAGTTCTAACTGGTCTTGAACTCACTATGTAGCCCAGGCTAACCTTGAATTTACAGCGATCCTCTTGCCTCAGCCTCCCAAGTGCTAGGATGACAGGTGTGCAGCACCATGCCGGGCACAAACCTAGCCCTCTCTTGCAAGTCAGTTCTAGCACCTTGTCTTGGGACAGTTGATGCTCTTTTCTGAGCCAGCTTTTCCTAAACTTGCTGGAGATAGATAGATATAGATAGGTACATATTTTGTGTATATGTGAAATAATTTATATTTTATATACAATATTATACATTTTCCCAAGGCAAGCCACAGAAACTAGAATTTATCTTCCCCTGAGGAGGTTGTAGAGCCCCTACCTTTCTTAAAGCTGGCCATAAGAAAATTCTCTGACTTATTTTGTCTGATCGTAAGTTATACGACCCTCCTTACTCCAAAGTATTCTGCTCCATGCCTTGGAGGAAGGACTTCTGCACAGAACAAGGCCAACAAGCGTCTGGACGGACAGGCCATGACAGTGAAGGGCCACAAATCTGTGGCCACAGAAATGTGAGGTTCGGACAGAGAAGAGCCACACAATGATTTTAAAAAGAGGAAAGTAGGTTTATTATAAAAACCTACTGACTCTATGAACATAGTCCAATAATACATCACCACACGACAGCGCCAGCGATGAGGGGGTCCCTGAGGAAGGGCACTTGTCAGATAGAGCCTTCGGCAGGTGAGAAAGAAATCCCGAGCCACACTGTTTCTGGTTTTTTTTTTTGTACCAGGAATCAAACTCAGGACCACAAGGTCCTGCCTGCTTGCCAGGCAGGCCATCGTGCCACTGAGCCGTATCTCCGGCCTCTCCGTTTCTTAAGGACATGTTCAGACAAAAGTGAGTTGGTGCCAACAGGCCTGAATGGCCGGAAGCGATCATTCCCAGCCTTGGCTAGAGCCTGGGCACAGGCTCTCCTTTGGTTGTTAACAGTTATCGCTATACACTCCTTTCTCGGGGGATAGTCAACCTCGCTGCAGAAAAGCATGTAGCCAAGGTCATTTCAGCAAACAAGCACATTCCAGAAGACTCTTGTCACTTTACTCTTTTCCTTACATAAGTCCTGCTGAATCTCTCCACATAGTCTACTGGCAAGCATGTCTACACAGTGAAGTCCTCATAAAACCCTAACAGGATAGGGTTTGGAGAACTTCTAGACAGATCGACATGTAGAAGCTTGCAGGGAGGTGAATGAGGCTTGCACATGTGCTGGGAGGGTTGTGTACCCCGGCTCCATGGGGATGAAAGCTCCTGCACTGAAGGCCCCTCCAGACTTTGCACTACATGTCTCTTTGTCTGGCTTCTTGAATGTATCCTTTATAATAAACTAGTAAATGTAAGCATAGTGCTTCCCTCATCTGCTCTAATAATGGGTCCCGAGGAGGTCATGGGAAACTCAGTATCTGGTCAGTCCGAAGTTCCAGCAGTCCACCCAGATTTGCATCTGGGTCTGAAGTGGAGCTGGCCAGGTTACGCCCTCAAGCTGCAGGGTCAGATACTATCGACTTGGAGACAGTGATAGAAGTAAACGGGATTAGAGGACACCAGCAGCTGACATCTGCTGCTGCAGAACCCAATCCCTGCTGGTTGGGAGAAATCCTCACTTTTTAGGGTCACAGAAGTCTTCCGTGTTGATGACAATATGAGTACAGAGGGAAAAAGTCACGTTCACTGACACGCTTGCTTCATTAAATTTCACGGAAGCCAGTGTGCTGGATTCTGGGAGCGGGGAGAGGGATGGGGACAAAACGGTGAATAAGGCAGAGGCCCGGAGTCCACGGGACTTGAGTGTACTAGGAGCAAGTCAGGTAATTGTAATACACGATGGACTCATCCTAACGAAACACCGAGGTGTTAAAACTATTAGCAATGGTGAGCCTATTTACATCACATGAAGAAACTAAATATTAGACTCACCCCTCAGCATCTGTCTACAGGGGTGAGTTCTAGGACCCTTATGGACACCCAAATCCACGATGCTCAAGTCTCACATGAAGTAAGGTGGTATTTGCATATAATCTACGCACATTCTTTTGTGTACTTTACATAACCTCTAAATGATATATAATACCTAATAGAATTTAAATGCTATATAAATATTTGTTATATTGTTTAGTGTTGGAGACCACTACAAAGTGGCTCTGAGCTGGATTTAATATTAACCAATTGGCTTTCCATGTTTACTTATGAGTTGTTGGAAGCTTAGGCGCTTTGTCTGAAGATAGGCAGTGGACTCATAGCAAGTAAACCACTGGTCACTGCTGAGGCCTGTACTGGCCTGTAAACCTGTGACACCTCAAAGGACAGGGTGAGGCCACAGCTGAGGACGTCTGGCTCCAACCCCAATTAACTACGAGGAGACTGCAGCTGCAGGCATCTCCCTCCTGCTGTGAAGGCCTTCCTGGAGATAACATAGTTCTCCTAAATTAACGTAATGTGTTACTTGGAAAAGTCCTGCCCAGATTCCCACATTTTCTTGAGTATCCTCCTCCTTTGTTTGAAAACCAAACAAATACGTCCTTCCCAGAGAAGTCTTGGTCTAAACTCAGAGAACATCGAAGCTGTAAGAGTTAGTCCCTCCCGGAGCGCTGAAATCATTTCCATTGTCTCATTTATTTAAGCCTTCACCATCCACTCGCTTGGGAGATTGCGGGCCTGATCAGCCTGCAATAACAAGGGTTACTTAACCCGATAGTTTAGGGAATAATAACAAAGAAAAGAGTCTCCACATGTTCAATACAAAAACAATTATTTTTTCAAATACAGTATTTTCAATCGTGATTGGATGAATCCATGGATTTGGAACCATAGACACGGAGATCCGACTGTGTAATATATATAAGCTGACACATAGTCCACGGATATTTCTGCCTTGAACGCAGTGTCCCTGGGGTCTCTTCGATTCTTCCTTGATTTGACGTGTGTTCACTGGGTTCTTAGCAGGGGCTGGGCCTTGTGTTAGGTCCTAGAGTAATCAGACATAGAAAGCACCCTCCCTGACCATCTTCAGACCCCCAATCCTGGGGGGAGGTGGGCACTTTTTTTGGTGTTTTTGAGCCAGGGTCTCACTATGCAGTTCAGTCTGGCCTGGAACTTTGTAGCCCAGGCTGGCCTCGAATTCTCAGTGATCCTCCTGCCTCAGCCTCTCGAGCACTGGGTTCTAGTGGGAAGGCTGAGAAAGTCCCACAGGGTGGCACCTACCAGTGCTTGTAATCCCAGCTACACAGCAAGCTGAGACAGCACAACTGAGGATGCAATGCCAGACTGGGAAAACTGGCAAGGCCCTTTCTCAAGGTAAGAAGGGCTGAGGGCGCAGCTTTACACTCGCTGGTCCAATCCCCAGTCTCTCTCTCTCTCTCTCCCTCTCACTCTCACTCTCTCACACACACACACACACACACACACACACACACACACATGCGCGCGACACAGCGTGGAATGCAAGTCTTTCTTCCCCTTTTCTTTATTTTGTTTGCTTTTGTCACTTATTTTTGTGGCCCTAGGGGTTAAACCCAGGGCCTCACGCATGTTAGGCAAACACTCCACCACTGAGACAGGACCCCAGCCCTCCCCAACTTTTTTTGTTTTTGTTTTTGGTTCTGGGAATTGAACACAGGACCTTGTGCTTCCCCTTTTCTTTAAATCTCCTTATCCCACTGCTTAGCTCAACATAAGGCCCTGGGTTAGTAAAGATTCATTCACTGAAAAAGCACATAAGCAAAAAGATGCTTACAAACATGTTTGGCCAAATTGAGGTCAGATTTCTGCCCAAACCTCTCCAGTGGGGGATAATCACCTCTTCCTGCAAGAGGCCTACATAATCACAGAACAGCTGGGCTGACAGAAACCTCAGTGAAAGCTAATTCCTCACTGACCTCTGAATGCTGCGGTCAGCAAACAGGAGTACACTCAGCACGGTGGGAGGGAGTACGAAAGGCCCGGTGTTAAGAACAGCCGGACAAGAAGCTCACTGAAGTCCTGCGTGTTGGGCCAAGTCCAGCCCTGTTACAGCTGTCCTGTGCCTCTGCCCGACTATCCCTTTGAGCTTCGCTGATTCTGAGACAGTTAGGGGCCGCCATGAGGGGGCAGAAGCTTGAGACCCCAAAATAAGCACCTGGGACCCTATAAACTATTACCCTTCGTAGTGTGGCATGTTTCAACAGATGTCATGGGACCGTGCTACAGCCACAGAAGCACAATGTTTGCATGAAGCGAGAAATTGTTGCCGAGGAAAAACCCTAAATAAGCCCATTAGCTTTACTGCTCTTATTCAATCTAAAGAAATCACTAACTTTGGAGCTCACACTGCACGTGATACACTGTTAGTTTCCCACTAGCTGTGCTGTAAGGTAGCACCTCTGATGTGTGGGTTATGCCAACACTTGCCTAGTTACTTTGCAAAAACTTAAAGGCAGGCCCATGTACTAAAACGCTGGCTCTTCATTTGAGCCGACAGATATCCGACAGGTGGTATCTAAAACGGATGAAAGGCTTGCTACCTCTGTCTTCCTTTGTGTCTGCCTCCTGTCTCTTACCCCTTGGGTCAGTTTCTAGGATGCAGGCTGAACTTGGCCACTGCCGTTGCAGCAGGTATGTGTTTCCTGTACCCCACCCTTGTGCTTTTCCATAACTCAAGCCCTCAAAGTCTTTATAAGGCTAGGATGTTTACACAAGCTGAGGACACCAGCTGTAAAAGTACCCAGTGGTGCCTGAGCAGAGCTGGCCCTGTGAGCCCACTACACACAAGGCCAGGATGCTTCTGCACAAGAAGCGAAGCAAAGCAAACCTTCAGGAGCCCACGCCCTTGACGGTGATTACCAGCCTTGAGCCCATTCCGACAAGTCAATAAAAACCTGTTACTGTGTTCTACGCTGCTGGCTCCCTTCCGCCAAAGCGCCAGTTCCTCTGAAGCTCCTTCCCTCCGGGCCCCTCCTAATAAAGCTCTGTGTGAGCTTGCACCACTTGGCCCAGTCTCATTTCTGCCGTGTCTGGGTCAAAAGATCCCATCAATCTCATTCTGTCTGAGATTGGTGAAAAAGGACCAGGCCCTGAAGATAACAAATATCTGTTTGGCTGGCTTAACTCGGGACATGCTTGAAAACCAACACCTTACCCCTCGTCCCCTCTGAGACCTCAGCCTTCTCTCCTTTCCTCTCCAAGGCAGAGGCCACAAGAATATCATTCATTTTAGGAGTGCTCTGTTTGCCGTTCTGATCTCACTTGGAACGCAGGACAAACGATTCCTCGTCGGAGTGGAAGACGTACTCAGTCCTGTTTGACTGAGCTGCAGGACAGCACTTTCGGTGCTGCTCTGTCATAAAACCTTTCTTGGCAGGGAGCAGGGGTTGGGAAAGTATATTAAAGGCCATTAGTTAGAAACAAAATGCCTGTAACCCCAGCACTGCAGAGGCTGAGACAGGAGGCCTGAAAACTTGAGCCAAGCTTGGGCAACTTAGCAAGACTCTATGGTGGGCAGGAAGAGAGGAGAGATGAAGAAGAGGAGGAAGAAGAGGGGGGAGGAGGAAGAAGGAGAGAAGGAAGGAAGGAAGGAAGGGCTGGAGGAGGGTTTTGGTATGATGGTATGGGTTCAATCCAGAGTACA